TTAATTTTATAGAACCATCAAAAAAAGCAGCCAAAAAGAAGGTTGCCATTTTAATACTCAAAATTATTTGTTTGGTGAAGAAGATGATTTTTAATGAATATTTTAGACTATTAAGCGGTATATTTATACATGTACAATTCAAATTTAATTAAGTAATGTATTTACTCTGGTGTATGATTCAATTCATGTACCTGCTTTTATTTTTTTGTTAATTACAATTAACAATAAAATAAAAGTAGTTACATCAATTAATGTCATAAACCACAGTATAATACATATTATATAATTATATAATAATAGCATCCTCTTAATCGTTCATAGATACAATTTTCAATGTTACGCGTGGGTCAGAAATAGGAAAAAAATACGTCAACATTGATCATATAATTTATACGATTTTTATAATTTTTTATGATTTTTCATTAGCTATAAACAAAATATTAGTCCCATTATATTATTATTATATAATATATTTGAGGTAAAATACAGTGTAATAATACAATGGGACTAATATTTTGTTTATAGCCAATGAAAAATCATAAAAAATTATAAAAATCATATAAATTATATGATCAATGTTGATGTATTTTTTTCCTATTTCTGACCTACGTGTAACATTGAAAATTGTATCTATAAACGATTTAATCAAAAAGTTGCATATTATAACATCGGATTATAGATGCATAGGTCTTGGCTATACAATCCTCATTTTCGTGCATCACCGTAAAAAATTTGATAATAGACGGTTGGACAAAAAGCTTACAGTGTTTCACGGAATGAGAAATTTATAACCAAAACCTATGCATACAGTTTAAGAAATCATCACTCTGTAATCCTCTTCCGGTGATATCTCAATATCGACAGGTACGGCGTAGGGGTAGTGGTCGGCTGTCGGTTGGCCCGTGGTTCCGGTTGCTCGAGGTCCGAGGATGTAATATTACCTCCGGTACCACGGAATCTGGGAGGGTTGGGCCTACTGCTGATGTAGATCGGGTGTTGGCTGGGGAGGAAGTTGTTTAGGATATGGGTGGTGCCCGTTTCTCCTGCAAGCGGTGTTGTTGTAAATTTTGTAACCTAATTTTTTCTCTGTATTCCAGCAACTGCTTTAGGTTCCGGCGTTGGCGGGAGTTCTTGAAGACCGGTGCAGCCGAAATTGGGGCGGTGGGTGTCCTCGCTGTGGTCGTGTTGACGGCCGTCATTGGCGGCATGATGGTCATTTTTTCATCGACGGACGGGGTGTTGGGCGCTCCGATGCGCACGCTGACGGCCGTATCGGCGATGTCCGCGGTGTTTCGGACTGCCGTTTCACGAATCTGGGGATACGGGACCTGTAGTTATTCCGCACGGACGTCGTCGGGTCACCACTTATTACTGTTTTGAAGGACATCCGGTCTTCCCAACCCCGTYTGTAAGCGGCCCACAGCGCTGCGTCTGACTGTAGTTCTGATGGCGTCATCTGCTGCACCAGTTCCGCCTGCAATGTTGTATTGGTGGCCGCGTCCGTGTTGGTTACCCTGCTGATCGGTTGCTGGTCGCATTCCAACAGTTCGGTCGCTTCTTGGAGGGTGGTGGCGGAGGTTAGGTTTTAATATCTTATGAATTTATTTGTGTATTGTCATTTGTCAATAGATTTGGGTAATTATATATAATTTAAATTTGACTGATTTGGGACTTTGTGTGTAGTACGAAACTTTGGATATTTTAGGGTCTGATAAGTATGAAAAAGTAAAATTAAAACTCAGCCCCTCCAAATATTTTTATGTGTACACGATTTCGTTAAAAAAGTACAATTTAATACAAAATTGGTAGCCAGCTCCCTATTGATTACATTCATTAGTAATATGCATGCAATACATATATACAATATAATTATTATAGATGAAAATGTAATAGAATATTTTATGTTTTGGGATTTGGACTTGGTGTATGAAAGAAAAATGTGCTCCGACTATTTGTCTGGTAATAAAAATATGAATCAGGAATTTTTATTCAACTTTTTACAAAATGGACTTTTTGACCGACTACCAAGTATATGAGGTACACTCAACTGTTATAAATACAACCTAGTACTTTGATTTGTCACCGCGACAAATCTTGCGATGTCTGGCAGTTGTTTGCCGCGACTCGCGTGGATAAAATAATTAAATAATTAGGTGACCAATAAATTAATTAATTAAAATACAAGGTGTTAGCGTATGTATAATAATAGGAAACTGTCACGGTGTTACAAGTATAATAATACAATAACACGGGGCCCCAATAACAGTAATAATAAAAGTATAAATAAGTAATAATAATAATACAGCAATATAAATATTTAAGTTACCAGGTGGTGWACAATATATAAAATATAACAAAATAGACCTGATTCCGGCGGTGGGTCGATCCAATGATCCAAWTTGGCAATCTTCACTTGTATAATGGAATATTATGGTCAGCTTAACGATGTAGCAATTATAATAATATTCGATGAATCAATGAATGAACACAAGGTGGTCACACGGGGTATGCATTAATATTTTACACCAATATATACGAATACTGCGGTCGGGTCGCACAAACGACAACATATATATTGTGAGAATTCGGGCATTTTACCTACCGAAAACCACCCACGACAAAAGGGGAACACTTCTGTCGTGACCTAGGAGCCGCACCGCGTGATGACCCGAAGGCCAAGTCGGTGGAGCTCATAGRCTTTGATACACGCAACGGCAAATTAATGCCGAGGATTTAAATTGGGGGAAAAAAAATGTAAAATAAATAATACTAATAAAAAAATGTGACAAAATATAAGGTAATCATATAGTTATATTTTACACGGTTTTAAGAAAAGGGTGTGTTTTAAACAATATGAATA